ACACACACACACAGGGCCCACAGCCTGCCCCCCTGCAGAGTTCACATGCCCCCCACCTGACTCCCCTGCCCCAGCGTCCCCGCACACATCAGCTGCAGCAGTGGCCACTGGGGCGACTCGGAGCTTCACGTCACAGCTGCCCCACACGGTGTGGGGATCAGCCCTGGCATCTGCGCTGCTGCTGCATTGTGCGGGTGCAGCCTGGCTCGGCAGGGCACCGAGTGGCACTGCATGCTGTCAGGCAGCTGGGGCTCCTCTGACTGTCACCCAGGGCTTGGTGCTGCTCAACCTGAGCAGCTCAGCAGCCTGCGGTGCCACATGGCACCCTGCTGGGCCACACACACGATGCAGCAGTGGCAGCACAGGTGTCAGACAGCCAGAACCGATTCCTGCTGCCCCGCGGGGTGGGGGCTGTGCCATGAAGACTCGAGCAGCCCCAAAAGCTGCTGCTACAGCCGGTGAGTGCGAGCTGTCTGGCAGGGGCAGGGGCAGGGGCAGGGCCAGGTGGGGAAGTGAGCAGGGAGCTGGGGAAGCATTGAGGAGCTTAGGGAAGGAGGGGAAAGCTGGAGGAGAAATTGGAGAGCTGGGGGAAGGAGGGAGAAGCTGGGGAAACAATCTGGGGGCTGGGGAAGCAAGGAGGGGCTCCCTCCATAGTCCCCTCCACCCTCTTCCTGCCCCTCCACCCCCTACTTACCTGGCATGGAGCCCAGATCCAAGTCCTTGCAGCCTCCCCATACGGGCAGGCAGTGTGCTTCAGCACCAAGGCAAGGGCCACCAATAGAGATGCTCTGGCTGGCTACCAAGCCTCCTGCCCCACTTTTCCCCCCGGGTTATATTTTGACACCTGGATCTCCACGTATAAAATTCTGAGCCTGCACTGCAAATCTACAGCACAGGGAACGTTTTTTTGTTCCCAGCATGCATCTTGCAGCATCTCAAAGGAGTTTGAGATGCTGCAAGAGGCACGTTCGTGTTTATCTGGATGCACCCTATATGGATAACATAATATTACACATCTAAACCAACCAATTCCCCATTAGAGGAATGTAATAGTGGTGGAAGGGTTCACATCATTTCATGAAGAAACGCATGCATATTTTTTTAAAATTACAGTAATGTGAACATGAACTACATTTGATGAACAGAAGCAGCTAAGGTCTGGAATGGACTGGTGCATACAGCACAGCATGGCAGCACCTCCCGAAACCATTATGATGTTCTTTGGAATTTCTATTTCTTATTTTGTTTTAAAAAGGCACAGTGTAGTTGTTAAAATTTTAAAGAAAAGCTAAAATATGCAAATAATAGGGCTGGCAAACTGGTCAATGGACTGGTCAAATAATGTCAGTTGTCCACAATTAAATATTGTCAAATATTCCATAAAGCTATGGATGGTGGTAGCCTCCTTTTTTATTGCATCATGTCATTTGTTAGCGGAAGCAGAAGTGACAGCTCCTTCCCGAGATCCACACACCACTGGCAACGCATAGAGGGTGCACACGGGTGCATGTGCACCCCCTGAGATTGGTGGTGCACTCCCTGCGAAAAGCACCTCCAACGCTGATGGCAGTGCCTGAGGGCAGTTGCCGCTCGCCACCCCTCCCCCCATCACTGCCACTGGCATCTGTGGAAGGTCTCCGATTGCCACTGGTCGCTGCTGCCATCTGCGGTAAGTTACCACCCACCTCCACCCCCACCCCCGCTGCTGCCTGCAGGAGCTCCCCACTTGTCACTGCCACGCCCCCGCTGCTGACACCTCTGCCTGCGGGCAGTCACTGTGCCCCCCCATCTTCTGGGGGCACACAGCATTCATACCACGCACCATTTAGAAGCCAGCGTCCCCTGCTCTGCTTGTTTTCAAAGCTCTTCCAGCCTCCTTTCCCTTATTTCTATTATCTGATGTGGTGCTGCAGGACCTACTGCATGCTGGGGTGGCGGGGCAATGACTATAACCACCAGCAAAAAAAAATGGACGTCTGCCTTCTATAATTACTGTGTGAGTTTTATTTTCCTTCCTTCCTGCCCATCCTTTTGGATTTTTGTAATTGTTCAGGCTGATCCTGGGGTTCTGGGATAAAAGGCAAGTAGAAGAAGAAGAAGAACTGTTCACTTGAATATTCCTCACATTTATACGTACCTAAAAGCTAGGGAAAAGGCAGAGGAGAAAACAACAGCTGGCAAGGACCAGAGATGGTGTCTCCAGAAGGCAAGAAATGCAGGGTCCTAGGGATGGATGCTCCAGGACTATTCCAGCAAGAGGGAAGAGGAGAGTGGTAGTAGTCGGAGATTCCCTCCTGCAGGAGTGGAAGCACTTATCTGTCATCTGGATCAGGAGTCCCAGGGGACATACTGGGGCCCCAGTTTGAAGAACCCATATTCAAGATATCACAGAGAGACTGTCAGAACTCAGCCATCCCTCAGACCACTAACCTTTCCTGCCTGTCCATCTAGGTACCAATGATGCTGACAGTAATAGCAGACCAGATCAGATCAGAGGAGACTAACAAGGCTCTGGGCAGAAGGATTAAAAGGTTTGGAGTGCAGGTGATGACCTTGTCAATCATTTCCAAGTACCTGAAGGACTGCAATAAGAAAAGGGAGAATATCTTTTCTCCTTCACTGCAGAGGAGGATGTGTAGCAGTGGCTTACAACTGCAGAAAAGCAAATTTAGATTGCATATCAGGAACAACTTCACTATCAAAAGTTATGGGATATTCTTCACTAGAGGTTTTCAAGAAGAGATTGAATAAGCATGGGTTAGGGGTGATCTAGGAGTAGTAATGTCTGGAATGTGCTGTGAAGTACATTAGTTGGAAGCCCAGGAGACACCCCCCACTACCTCACACATCACTTGGAGATTGTAAAAAGAGCTCTGCACCCCAGAACAGGTGGATAAAGCAAATCTCCACAAATAAAACAGGATTGAAGAGTGGGGACAAGTTTATGGAGTGAACAGAATAACAGAAAGGGGAGTTCTGGTTCTTCAGTTATGGTGTATAATGTATGGAGTTTGCAATTCACAGGTTGCAGTCCAGAGTTTTTGGTTTTCCCATGTCTCCATGCCTTGCTAATTGCCACATGGGGCCAGGAAAGAACTTTTTCACCTCCTGCTGCCTCAGGTGTTACCTGTCTCTTCACATTATTCAGAAGCACTGGATGTTGGTGCGGGATTTTCAGTGAGATGTGCCAATGTTTTTGCACCTGGAGGTTCCTGGCTAGAGGAACTTGGGCTGATTGCCTTTTTTGGGATCAGAAAGAAATTTTACTCCACAGTCAAACTGGCAGACTGTGGGAGTTTTTGCATTCCTCTGCTATGGGGAACATGGTCCTTTTCCTTGGATCTCGAGTGTATTTTAACAAATTGCTTTTGCTCTCATCCTCTTGGTTTACCTGTGATAAGCTAGGGCCTTCTTGATCTTTTTGGGTATTGTGCTGGTGGGCTGAATGGGCAATGCCTAACACCTCTACAGGCTGGATCCGGTGGGGCCCCATTTGGCCACACAGAGGTGACAGGGGCACAGTCTGGCTCCAATCCAGCAGTGAAAAGGGGTTTGGGGTCAGCCTAAACCTGGTCCCATGGGGGGAAGGCCCATGACATGGCCACAACCCAGTGCCACGTGGGGAGAGGTCATGACCCAGCCACAA